TCATTAAAATACATTCAGTTAAATAAACTTTAGCATTTATTTAGTTGCTCAAGCGTAAAACAAGACAAAAAGCTGTTTACTCGCACGCGCCCGTCAGAGTCGGCAGGTTAACGCAGAAGCTCCATTGAATATACTGGGGTAAAATAATTGCTCATACTATAAAGATATGGCGGGGGAAATGTAATTTAATGCAGTGCTTCTTGTACAATCAGAGACCCACTTTAAATCGGAAATCACCCAGCTAGTGGAGATTGCTGATTTTTAAAGAAAACAGACCTTAAACGCACCGGATTTTGCATTGGCATTCAATTTGCCGGAAGCGCTTAACCCAGGTTAAAGGCAAATTAAAAGTCCTATTAGCATGCTTCGGCATATACCCCATTAGCTGCACAAAGGGATTGGCATGCTGAAAAGCCTATAAAATATAAAGATATAAAGATTTGACATTTATCATGCTAATTATCAATATCGACTGATTTGAAATTTTATTTATTTTAGACATATCGCCCAGCCCTACTGCTAAGAATTCCCAATAAATATAAAGCACTCTTTTTACTCTTAGTTTTGTATTTATCTAGTTTATTAAATATTATGCAGATGCACTATACCACAAAATCACGTACATTAAATATTATCAAAATCTAGTTTATTAAATATTATGCAGATGCACTATACCACAAAATCACGTACATTAAATATTATCAAAATCTAGTTTATTAAATATTATGCTGATGCACTATACCACAAAATCACTGCAATCATACTACAATAATGAATTCTTCACCAAGTTATTCAAACCATCTGGTGGGAAAAGTTTCATATCGCAATATGTATTGCAGAAAAGCAAAATGTTGTAATGTAATTATTTTCTCAATACCGCGCAGCCCTATCTGTGATCATTCAAACAGCAGCTCCTTCTCAACAATATTACAGAGAGTCATAAAACCATCAAAGAGACATTCATATGGAGTCACCCAGTGAACACTTGATCTCTTTGTAACCTTTCTAAAATCCTTTGGCACATCAAGAATTTATTACTCCCCATAAATCGAAGTCCAACAGACCTTCGAGGCATCTACTATTTGAGATGAAACCCTCCACAGTATTGTGCTGCCTCAGTCGAATACAGTACTCAACGTTTTGAGTGGATCAAACCTTTTATTAAAGTTGTCCTAAAACTATTCAGCACCATCCACTCCTGTCTTAGGGCAATTTTGAAGAACTTTCTTTAATACCTTTAAAATGTTAAGTACGATAGCACACCAACTTTGATGCAAGTTTGACCATTGTCCTTCTATAATACGATGACAGCAACAGTGATCTCCATACAATCAAATATTTATAAATGGGTTCTCAGTTTCGAAGATCTCTCTGGCATTACATGACAGCTGTACAGACCCTTTCTTAATTAAATGGCCTACAACTGAAGTCAGGGCAGAACCATACACATCTAAAAAGAATCCATCACTTACAAAATGTCTGTTTAGTGTAGGCAGACCCCACAAACCACTGCAGAAACATTAAACAAGTGGAGGCAAACACTCATGAAATCACTGAGACACCAGATGTAAGCAAAATTTGGCCTATAAAATCTCTAACAACATCGTAAAGCAAAATCAAACAAGCTATCAAAATATTTTGATAACATGGACTGAAATTAAGACATGATAGATAGATAGATAGATAGATAGATAGATAGATAGATAGATAGATAGATAGATAGATAGATAGATAGATAGATAGATAGATAGATAGATAGAGACAGACGGACAGACACACAGACATGCACTGTAAATTATTAATGAACTAATAAATAAATTTAAAGTGGATTAAACATAAAACTATTAAGTTGTCCTAAAAACCTCAAGAGTTGTGCTGTTCTAGCTTATTTTATATAAGTAGTTTGGACAAACAGCAATCATCATTTTTGGTGTAGACACATATTGGTACTTTGGGTCAAATCTGGTGAGCAATACAAACCATTCAAAAAGATTACGTGTAGATGGATATTGATATGTATGTACATGAATCTAAAAAGAAAAACATCTTAGCAATACAAACACTTCAAATAGATATTTTTACATATTCATATATGATTTTTTTTATGTGCCACTTTAAAATCCGCTACCTAAAATAAGCTTCACACTGTGCGTTTATCATCTTTGATCAAACACTGTAGGCTTACAGACGATGAAATCTGTATCTCTCGACTTTTCAACAAGTTTTATGAGCCACGTGCCAGTGGTCCAACTCTCTCTCTCATCCCGTGTGGATCTGAACTCACCTCTCTGCTGTAATGCAACCGGAGACAAGATCAACACGAGGCAGAAGAACCGCTCCAGAACCGCGAGACACCTGCAACGATGAAGCACGTTTTGTTTTGTTTTTTTGTTATTTTTTTTTTTTATCTTAAAATATATACTCCAAAACTCATGTATCCTCATGTATACCTTCTTGCCATTTCAGTTCGTGAAACTGCTCCGTCCCGATAGCTACATGGGATTGTTGTTGGGAATCGGATGAAACTTTCCCGCTTCAGAGAGAGGAGATCCTCGCGCCGGTGCAACAGCTGATGAGAGTGAACCGAGAGCCGGACTGATGAACTGACGGAGCAGCGGGACAGCCGCACACAAGCGCTTTACACAAATCCCCCGGGTCCTAAAGCCTCGAAACCCTCCTACCTGACACACGGTTGTTGCTAGAGCTGCGGTCGAGAAATATTTATATTCATTCATTCATTCATTCATTCATTCATTCAATCATTCATTCAATCATTCATTCATTCATTCAATTTCTTTTCGGCTTATGACGTCCTTTTAACAATCTGGGGTCGCACAGCAGAATGAACCGCCAACTATTTATATTACTTATAAAATTAAACATGAATTTTATTTTAACTTTCCGCAGAACTCCTATTTTGCATGCTATCTTCATCAAATTAGAACTATAAACTCAAAAGAAACTTGACTTTTAAGGCATATTCTTTTCTAGGTTATAACAAGATCAATTTCATGTGTTTGTATATGACCAAAACAATTATGACTTTATTATTTGTTAGCATGAAACTTTTATGCACCATAATAAACCATAGTAAAACTCAAAGTGTCTTCTTTCTAATGATATGTAATTTTTGTTTGTAGCACACTGGGGCTAAGAACTACTATTTTAATTTAGGTAGGTATAAATGCTTTTATATTATTTTATCTATGATAGATTGTCGTCTCAGCGATGCTTTGGTTAATAGTATATTATCTATATATTTTTTATTATATTATCTTCTCAAAGATGCATTATTTTACTTGACAAAGTAAACGAAGTATAAAAGTACTATTTTAAGAAGTGGTGGCTGTGTAGAATTTTATACTCAAAGATGTCATGTTGTAATGTAATGTAATGTGTATTTAAAGAGCACATTTATTGTCTATGGCCATACACCCAAAGCGCTTCACAATCATGAGGGTGTCTCTTCACACTACCACCAGTGTGCAGCATCCACTTGGGCGATGCGACGACAGCCACAGGACGATGCCAGTGCGCTTACCACACTCCAACTATAGGGGGAGTGGAGAGACAATGATACATGATTAGGGGGCCATGATTGATAGAGGCAATTTGGGTAGGACACCGGGATTGCACCCCTAGTCTTTACGAGAAGTGCCATAGGATTTGTAATGACCACAGAGAGTCAGAACCTCGGTTTAACATCTCATCCGAAAGACGGCACTCACTGATAGTATAGTGTCCTCTTCACTATACTGAGGCGTTAGGACCCACATAGAACACAGACCCTCACTACCACCACTTCCAACAGCAACTTAGTTTTACAATGTTGTCTCCCATCCAAGTACTGACCTTGCTCAGCCCTGCTTGGCTTCAGTAAGAAACTGGTCTTGGGTATTATACGCATACACAGTAAAAAAAAAATGGACAAAAAAAAAGATGGCAAATGTTTTTTACGTAGCTTAATCAGGTTTCACCAATTTATTTTTAAGTTATACAAAGTTTAACTTTAAATTTTAAAGGGCACCTATTGTAAAAAAATCTTCTTTTCAAGCTGTTTGGACAGATCTGTGTGTTGGTATAGTGTATAGACCATCATACTGGGGTGATATGAACACACCCAGTCCTTTTTTTTCAATTTAACTACAAAAAAAAAGGGTCGGCCAATTGGAGCTGTTTTCAAATCGATCGCACCATTACGTAGGTGTGCGATTCCCCCCGCCCACCGAATTGATTGACAGCTGCGCGTATTAACATATCCTGCGTTTGCCGTTTCCGCCATTATCAGCGTGAACGTCGAAGCGATGCCACCGAGAGAACACCCTTGTGCTATTTTAGGATGTAAGGCTCAGCACAAGAGCCTTCACCGTCTTCCTGCAAATGAGCAACAGAGGCTTAAGTGGCTGAGTTTTATCTTTGAAGACAAGGTGCCTGAAAATGTACCAAAACTGTTGTATGTTTGCGCTAACCACTTTAGCGTAGACTGCCTCGAGAACGCGGGACAATACAACTCCGGATTCGCGAGTAAATTGTTTTTGAAAACTGGATCAGTTCCTACAATACGTGATCCTGTCTCACTTCAAGTAAGTATTACATTTTATGTACTTCTAGCCTTAGCATTCTAATTATGTTAAGCCGATGAATAGCATCTGCGGCTAAAGTAGCTTCGGATGTTTGTTTGCACGTGTTTACCTCTTATTGTGCTTTTCAAAAACAGTCTGAATACTCGAAGCTGCATATGGTAACGTTAGTGTGTACATGAAGGGGGTTTAGCCATTAGGAACAGAAACCGTAGAAAAATAGCAACATTGTAAAAAGCAGTACCACTGGCTTCAGCTAAAGTTTGTTGTTGTTAAATGTTTGTTGTACTGTAATCGTAAGCCGAAATGAATAGCATCTAAAAGTTAAAAGCCGCTAAAGTTGCTTCGGATGTTTGTTTGCACGTGTTCACTGCTATTATGCTTTTCTAAAACAATCTAAATAATCGAAGCAATAAGTGGTAGTAGTGTGTACAAGAAGGGCTTTTAGCCATTAGAAACAGAAACCATAGAAAAATATAAACATTGTAATAAAGCAGTAACCAGTACTGGCTACAGCTAAAGTTTGTTGTTTATGTGGGATGTTTGTTGTAATGTGTATACTGTAATGTTAAGCAGAAATAAATAGCATCTGCGGCTAAAGCTACTTCGGATGTTTGCGCGTTTACAGCTATTGTGCTTTTCTAAAACAGTCTAAATACTCGAATCTTTAAGTGGTAATGTGTACATAAAGGGGTTTTAGCCATCAGAAACAGAAACCGTAGAAAAAATTAAACATTTTTTTAATGTTTAATATGTGGGATGTATGTGGGATGTTTATTGTAATTTTTTTCACTGTACTTGCACGTGGTCTGCAGTTGTTTACAATAAGATCGGTATGTTTTAATCAACAAGGTGGATGTTGCTTGCCAGACAGAAACTTTTCACACATCTTTACACAGTGTTGGCACCCAGTTGTCTTTTAGGACGCTTCAGGCTAAACGCAGGAGTACAAGTAAGTTAAAATTTCTCAGTTTATTTTAAGTTGCTGCATTAGAAACGTGTTTTATTATCTTTATAAACGTGCAATGAGATTAATCATAAAATTACACTATAGGTGTCCAGACAACAATATCCAGTTTTGAACTGACTGTGCCATCAGCGTCCTCTACTGCGTTTATGACTTCGACACCCCTCAAACCTTCACTAAAAAGACCTCGTCTGGAGCTGGAGGAGGAGGAGGAGGAGGAGGAAGAAGAAGAAGCCGAAGAGACTTTGACAGAGTCAAAAATTATAGCCCAAGACTCGGATGTGACATTTGACCCTGCAGAGGAATGCACATCTGCAACTGAACCAACAGACTTGTCGTGAGTTTATGCATTATGTAAATTATTTGAAAGATTGTGTATTGTCATCATAACATTTATCATAATTTTTTTTTTTATTATGTTAATGTGTATATTTATTTTTACAGAATCCAAGAATGCCCAGTTCATAACATTGCCAAGTTCATTGTCTATGAAACATGCCTCATGGAGCTCTTCAGTGACTGCCCAGTGTGTCAGAGGAGATGTGATGTAAAGTCACAAAGGCTTGGGACATTTCTGAGCGTACAGCAAGTCTGCCCACACTGCGAGTTTGTAAGAAAATGGAACAGTCAGCCAATTATTGGTAGTACTCCAGCTGGCAACCTGCATCTTTCTGCTGCAGTCTACTTGAGCGGTGCATCATTTTTTGTAGTTGAAAAGGTAATTATCTATCAAAATTTATCACATTTTTTTTAGAAACATAATATAAATTTTGTCACAGGGTGCATGCACATTGTACTAAAAATTCTCCTCTCTGTTGTCAGGTATTTGCTGCAATGAAACTACACATTTTTAAATATAATTCATTTCGCCGTCATGCAAGACTTTGCATTGAACCTGCTATTGTCCACAAGTGGAGAAATTGGCAGAGTGAAATGCTAGAACAGCTCAGTCGAAGAGAGAATGTGATTGTTGGAGGAGATATGAGGGCTGACTCCCCAGGTATTTAGTCAAAAGATTTAATTTCTAATTCAATACAGTCTAATAAAAAAAATAAATATGAAATACATTACAATTATTCCAAAAATGTGTTTAGAATAATTATGTACGGTTTGTTCTTGAAGGTCACTCGGCCAAGTATGGGAGTTATACAATGATGGACCTTGCAACTAACACAGTGGTCGACCTACAGTTAGTCCAGGTAATACAGAAAAGTATTATGTGAACTAGCATAATATTTTGGATTGAAAATGTGTGATTTTTATATATATATATATATATATATATATATATATATATATATATATATATTATTTTATTTTATTTTATTTTTAACCTTATTTAAAATTTTATAGAGTAATGAGGTGGGTGGCAGTTACCATATGGAAAAAGAAGGCCTAAAGAGAAGCCTTGACCTGTTGGATGCCCGCGGTGTTCGTCTGGAATGCATCATCACAGACCGACATCCTCAAATACAGAAATACCTCAGGGATCGAAATGTCACTCAGTTTTACGATGTGTGGCATATCAAGAAAGGTATGTAATTTAGCAGTTATTCATTTACTTAAGATTAAATTGCTATTTACAGTTCTTACATGTTTATTATTATTTTTGTGTTGATGTCTTTTTTTCTTTAATTTCCAGGAATTTCCAAAAAACTGGACAAGATATGCCAGATAAAGGGGTGTGAGAAGTTGCGTAAATGGTTACGTAGCATCAAAAACCACATCTACTGGACTGCTGCATCATCCACAACAGGTCCTGAAAGAGTGGCAAAGTGGACCTCTATCTTAAACCATGTACAAGACAAACATGTACATGAAGACCCCAGTTTTCCGGCTTGTCTGCATCCGCAACGGATAAGCAGAGACAAGAACAAATGGCTGTCGGCTGGTAAGTTGTATACAGACAAATAAAATATTCTTTGCGATTAAAACTAATTCAAAATAGAGCTTGTTTCATTGTTCAGATTTGTTTTTGATTTCGACTCTAATACCTTAAATTTTTGCTTGTTTAGCAACGATGCCATTCTACAAGCTGGAGAAAGTTCTCGCTAACAAGAGAATATTGAAGGATGTGGCCAAGCTAAGTCCTCACCACCAGACGTCAACTGTTGAAGCTTTCCACAGCGTCATACTGCGGTTTGCACCCAAAAATGTGGTATTCCCTTTTCTGGGGATGCTATGCAGGTAAAGCCAATGATCAGAAATTAATATTTACAATACTATACAGTCTTGTCATGGTACGTCATTTACATTTTTCTTTTTGTTAGGTTGTACTTGGCTGCACTGCATTACAATGAAAATGCCGGGCGTCCCCAGGCCACATCAGCAACTGGTAAACCTATTTACAAGCTTGCTTTTCCAAAGGCAAAGAAAGGAGAGTATAGGGTCCGAGAAGTGAAGACACAGCAAACTTTCGGCATGTATATAAATGTTTATAGTATTATTAATAATTCAATAAATAAAAAAAATAATTGCACTTTACATTCACAATGAAAACTCACTACTCAAAATACAAAATTAAGTTACTAAAGAGATAACTGTTATATTACACAGGTTATGTAGAAGAGCTGCTGGACCTCATCTTCAACCAAGTGTTTGTGGACCCATCACCCTATGTTGATGAAGTGTTGGGAATTCACATACCACCTGCTCTATCATCAGCCTACGATCGACCTGAGATGGAGGAGGCTATCTCCAGCAGGGTGACCCGCTTCAATCAATAGCTATCCTAAAACCCACATAGCTGCCCTGCTCTTCAGGAAACTGTCTTCGAATCTTCAGCACCACACAGGCAGGAATCACAACACGGACTCTCCCCCCGAGGAAACCCCAACACCAGCTCACAAAGCTCCGATAAGCCAAAAAGCGGCACTGTCTAACAGAGACATAATAATGAAACATTGTTTTAGAAATTGCACTAAAATTTGAACTTGGGAGTTATCACATATACATTTTTATTTTTTATAAAATAACTAGCTTTAACAATTTCAGAAGTCATATTTTGTTTATTCAACTGCCAATGTATATTTGATATGTTTGTATGTGTTTGTAGATATACTGTACTTTCTAATGTTCATGGACAATTGTATTTCATTCAACATGGTGACAACTTGGAGTTTATATTTTATATTTGCACAAGGATACATTTTATATTTGCCATCACATTTTAATTTATACTTCAATATAAAGTTTTTATATGACTCAGGAATTGAAGCATCTTTTCTGAAGGGTTGATGTTTCTATGCCATACTGATTTTTATATATTTTAAGAGTTTATATATTAATGTTTAGTTAATTTAAAATTATTTTTCAATAAAAAGTACATGCATTACTCAGCCTTTTATGAAGTCATTCAAATTGTCATCTCAGAAATAGCAGCAATAAAAAACGGTACGTATTTCATTTTTATTGACATTGAGGTAAAGTTGGTTTTATATTCAGATATTCGGACATTCTCCTTAATAGTATCATTTCAGTAAAGTATTCTTTGCAAATTCAAAATAGGGAAATCGTATTAGCAGCAAATGACAAAGTACAACATTGTTTACAGTCAAGTAGATAGTTTTAATGTTGTTTACAAGTCATACTTGCATGCTAAATACGATCGAATGTTTAAACTATCATGATAAACAATACATGGACTTCTGAATGTGCGGATATAAAACCAACTTTATCGCTATTGTATTGACTACACAGCGTTAATGTGCTTAAAAAGAAAGCGAGCATGCAGATCATGAACAAGGTAACCTGCTATTATTTCTATTTATTTAAACTCACTTTTGCACTCCACGAAGTCGCAGGGGACCATAGTCTGCTTTGTATATATTCGATGCATTTTGCAAGGAATAAATATTGAAGCAAACGGGATCCATTCCTGGATGCTCCGTCATGCACGAGGGTTGCATTTCCAGTTGACCCATTTGTCTTCTAACCTTATTACACGACACAGTTATGCTGTTTATTATCTCATTCGATGTCTTTTGAGCAGCAACGTTAACATAAACTGGAAATTTACCTGCGGTATCTCCCTGCAGCATACATTTTCAGCCTCAGTTGGCATTTTTTCACAATTGCCACACAAGCACCTGCCAATATTTGTCAACGTCAATATTCATGAATTACGAATAAATCATACCAATGCAAAATTTATCTCTGTGGATATCTTTATGTCTTGTCTGTGTTTGACGTAACGCATGACGTTCGCGAACTTTATCAAACAAATTACGGATGGCGCATGCATAGTTACATAGCGGCTGTAAAAGTATTCAAAAACATAAAATATTTTGTATGTACCACTCTGACACATTCTGGCACATTCGGATTATAGATTCCTCAACAGTCGACTCTGCTTGATCTGTGTCCGAGTCTGGGTCATATATGTAGGGTTGAATTGTGTTCCTCTCACTCATGATGACTCTTACTGTCTGCCTCTGTGATACGGTGCACAAAGCAGACGCGCTCTTGGCTCCGCCCCCTTGTTACGTTGGGCGGGCAGTCGAAACTCATTATCATGTTAAACAACACACCCCAAAACAGCAACCCGTGTACACGCCTCTAAATTTACACTTTTTAACACAGCATAATAACCATATCTGAATTGCGTTTTGATCTGAACCTATATTGGCACACTCAGAAGAACCATAATATTAGTATTAAATCTCAAAAAAGGGCTAAAATATGTGCCCTTTAAGTCAGTTTGATTTAAGTGAAGATGACTGAAAAAGTTAATTTGGTTCAACTAAAAAGTCAGCAAGATTTTTTTTACAGTGTAGAGTCGATCTCCATTTAATTTATTAAATTTACTTGGAGAATACTCATGACTGATGGAGTGAAAAGTTACAAGAGTTGAATTTAAAAAAATCTTTCATTCATATTTATTCAATCTGGTTTTCAAAAATAGGATGAAGAAATGCCAACCCTATCTTATGAGGAAACGTAACTATTTTACATTTTGTCTGTTTAGTAGCTAATTCGTACAAGTTCAGTCGTACGAAAATACATGATTTTAAAAGGGAGGCGTTGCACACAACCCAACCCCTAAACCCAACAGTCGTTATGGAATGGGTAAATCGTACTAAATTGTACGAATGCGATCATAGAAATTTATACGAATTTCCAACTCAAACAAAAAGTTACGAATTGCCATGATATTGTGTTGGAAATGCCGATATGGACATGTAGAGATGTTTTTTTGTTTTGTTTTTAAACTAAAAATGCTAATTTATTTCTATGAATCTTTCCTGTTTTGGTATACTAAATATAAAAGAATAAGATTTGCTTTAGGCAAAGCAGTTGCGCAGTAGGTAGTGCTGTCGCCTCACAGCAAGAAGGTCACTGGGTCGCTGGTTCGAGCCTCGGCTCAGTTGGCATTTGTGTGGAGTTTGCATGTTCTCCCTGCATTCGCGTGGGTTTCCTCCAGGTGCTCCGGTTTCCCCCACAGTCCAAAGACATGCGGTACAGGTGAATTGGGTAGGCTAAATTGTCCGTATATGAGTGTGCGTGTGAATGAGTGAGTAGATGTTTCCCAGAGATGTGTTGTGGCTGGAAGGGCATCCGCTGCGTAAAAACTTGCTGGATAAGTTGGCGGTTCATTCCGCTGTGGTGACCCTGGATTAATAAAGGGACTAAGCCAACAAGAAAATGAATGAATGAAAGATTTGCTTTAAAGTATTAAAATTTGCATGCTTTAATTATTTTCTACAATATGTAACATTTTTTATACCAGATTATGTCAACACACATTTTTATTTACTTGCAATTTTTTTCTTATTTGCACTTAAAGGTATATGACAACTTTTAGTAAAAGAAATAAATAAAACCTTATTTTATTCCATTTTATCAGTAATATTTAAACTGATAAATCTATGAATCTAGGTCAAATTTAAAAGGAGTAATCAATACTTTGGATTAAACATGTAAACAAAACTGTTTGTAAAGTGTTTTTATTATTTTGTAATTGTTTTTATCGTTAGACCAAATAAAATGTGTGCAATTTAATTACTGTGCAAAAATAGCAACTAGGTAGGTTGTGAAAGTAATATTGTTAATCATAAGTGTTAATCTCTAAAAGGCTGCAGAAGCCTGTGAGAGGAAAAAAACCTTTATGAATTTCTTTGAAGAAAGATGAGTGATCTTGTGCAGCCATTGTTTGATATCACCTTCAGCATGTTGGCAGAAAGTACATTAACAGTAAATCACTGGCATCACTGTTATTAAATGTTGTAATATCTGCACCATTGCGGCACCAAACAAAAATGCAAAAACAATTATACTTCAGTATCACAGAACGTACAACAAATTTTGTTTCAGATCATTTTAAATAATTAGTTTTAACAAGCCGCAAAAACATTTTGTTTCCTCGCTATATTATATAAATATAATTTATTAAACACATTCATTTTATGCCAATTTAAGCTGAATGTATGTGTCACAATCACCAGTGATCTAGCACTTGCAGATCGCTGGAGAACTACAAATCTCTCACAGAACTGGACATCAAATCCCATCATGTCCCGATCCGATTTATTTAACCTTGAGTACGAGTATCTGCCGATATCGAAACCCAATCTGATACTTCTATAATACATAATAAAACAATTTAAGAAGAGCGAAGGAACAGATTCAGGATGTTCCTTGTTTTTTATTTAATTCACCTTAATTTTTTAGTTATCACAGTACTTATTACTTATTTATTTCACTTATTTTTACACACACCTTATTACTTCTGTGAGGTTGCTTGAACAATCAAGTAATAAATAACATAAATTCTTCACTCTGGACTTTACTGCAGTAAATATATTTTTTTTAAAAATGAATATAAAAACAAATAGCTCCTCATCTTAAAATACCCGGCAGACAATCCCAAATTTGCATATCTCACAGTTTACAATGGCAATGTTGTCTTTATCAAC